GCCACTGTCGTCGTGCAAACCCCATTTCTTCTGGATCGTCTTGTCCTTCAAGTCCCGTCCAAAAATTCCGCCATACATTGCGACATCCGACTCTCCCCAGCCACTGTCCCCGTGCAAACCCCACTTCTTCTGGATCGTCTTGTCTGCAGCCTTTTTGTCGGCGTCCCTGCCATAGAACCCGCCGTGTGCAGCGACGTCCGACCCGTACGAGCTAGAGTCACCCCACATCCAACTATCTCCTCCCCAACCACTACTTCCCCATCTTTTCTCTGGCGCCACCTGGCGTTTTCCGAAGGCACCGCCATACCAGATAGGGTAAAAGGGATTGGCCCAACCCTGATAGTTGTTCTGCTCCTCAGGGTAATTGTTGACCCCCCAACGTTTGTCGACGGACGATATTTGGTGAGAGGCGACCTCAGGGTCTGCAGATATCCAGGTCACCGCTAGAGGGAGCAGTACGATGTAAAGAGTGCAGACACCCATGGTCGTGGCTGTTTCACCTGTAAAAGATAACAGGAAATTTGAGATTATAAAATTCTGAGTAGTAATATAACGCATGGTACTTACAACGACTGCCGACAATTTAGACATCACAGCAATGCTAGCAGTAACGCTCCAAAAAAACATGGGTGATGTCACAATCATAATATAAAATGCAGGCTAAACAAAAAAGCTTTAAAAAAAAGCTGGCCGGAGGCCGAAATGCGAAAAGCTGGTTGGGTGGCATGGGTGTGCACTATTAATGACTCAAATGATTGGTCAGCTTGCTGACTTGAATTGTATCAATGCTAGCTTGCCAAGACATGCTTGACGAAGCAACGAAGTGCAAAAATACAAAAAGAGTAAAAATTTAACTTATTTACATTCCTGATAATTAGCTTTGAATGTTGAAAGCAAAGCAACGGATGTTCAAAAGAAATTTACGTCCGGAGCTAAGACGACTATAGCTGTCCATCGAGCCACAGTGGCTCACATTATAAATACATTAAATGTACCACCGTTACAACAACGGTCCAGTTTATCTGGGAATTGAGCCTGGCCGCAAAATTAGTGATTGAGGCAAATGTGGATTTATTATTAGCTGTTACGTGCAGTTGTGCGGTAGACATTGCGTCATTTTTAACCTTGCGGTCGTGCTTATTAGCGGATACATGCGGTTAAAGCATTGCGTCACGTTTATTAGCGGTTACGTGCGGTTAGGTATTGCATCACTTCGGTTTCCCCAGCCACCAAGCACCAAGCGCATTGCTATTTCAAAGCCTTTCGGCCTCCGGCAAAAAACTTTCTAAAAGTAGTTTGGTATAGTTCATTTGCCTGGTACGAGTAAAGCTCCTGCCACACACATCCAGGACCTTCCCCTGGCCTTGCCTCCGAACATTAGCTGACCACGTTGGGCTGACATTTGGGAGCGGTCTGACCAGATTTAGGTCACGCCTACCTTTGTATACGAATCAAAGCGAATTTGAGTTAAATTTGAGTCAAATCTGACCCATGAGCACCCCCCGACTGACTTAACATTTGAAACATTTGGCTGGCGCAGGCTAATACGTACTAGCTGACTTCGCTGAACACCAGCCGACTTTAGGCCATGTTGATTTGATTATATGGATGCCATCCACGCGCGCATGAATTTTTGGCCGTTCAAAAAAGAAACGTTTTCAACCATACTGTAAATCGTACAAAATAGTTGCAAAATGAGCACATATATACCGTAAGTTGAAAAAAAAATATTGGAAAACGATACCAATATCGTAGAATGCCAAAATCAAACCAAAAAGACGAAAATGAAAAGAAATGAATTTGAAGAGTAGATTACTCGCCATACCTACCTTCACGACCATGTAGAATTCATACTGAAAGAAACTATTCTTTTGGCCAAACTTTTTTATTCGCACGCTCGCATCGGTTTTAGGGTTTCCAGAGTATGTCATCCATATAATCAAATCAACATGGCCTTACGGCGACCTACTCTTAACCATGGTTACGTATACGGTGAGTTCGGCAATGTTCGGGAGACCATATTCGTAAACGAATGTGTGACAAGGGCTTACATGATATACATTTGTTCTTTGATATGGGTTAAAATTACTCCCTTTTACCACGTAGATTTAAAATACTGTTACACTTTTTTCATCACGTGGACTATTGTAAACCTGACCTTTTTTTGTCAAAAGACAGCTTCATTTTGCACGATGCATCTTTGACTGTCCTAAAATAGCCTCCTTTTTAGGCG